AGGATGCTGGAGGTATGCTGGGTGACGAAGAAGACGACGACGATGGTGTGTGAAACCAACCACTGCCCATTATCGCATTAACTCCTTTGTAGACGGAGACTTTGAGTATTATGATTCGGACGACGACGTGAAGCCGGACGGGGGAGCAAACCATGCGAATGCGGACCCCTATGCCGGTAATGCTTCGTCTTTGTTGGTCTCTCTATGCCTAACCACGAAGCAGGGATTTTCTTCTCAAAGGACAGACGTGAAGAAGTGATAGAAGTCGAGGAAGAACCAGAGACTACTCTCGTACTCGATGTCAATGAAGAAGCGCAGTTGATGACCCAGGGACAGTGGATGAAAGGCTGTCCGGAGGGCAGCGAACAGAGTTTCTTGTTCAGTTTGTACCACGAGCTGGGTGAAGGCGAGTGCCGCTGCCCCCACGGCTGCGGTAGCACAATATCTCGTCAGAAACGGGACTTCTTCCCGCTCTTCGTGAGCCATCTTGATGCCCGCTGATTGAATAGCCGTTGACGTTACGTGTAGCGAATGTTTTCCACGTACGTCAAGCACCTCCAGAACATTGTTCCTCGAACCTGTGCCAAATGCAGGAAGCAATTCTGCTTCGCGTGCGGAGAGCCTGTTGATTCCACGCAACCGGCGACAGCAGACTCGACTGACTGCTTGTTCCACTGCCCCACTCTTCAGGGGGTGATCCTCGGCGTAGGCCTTACAATGTTGGAGAAGATGTTTGTCCAGCAGACACAGGACCCGTCAAATCCTTCTGCGTCGAATACTAAGGGTGGGAAGAGGCGCAACGCTGATCCGGCCCCCTTTCCCGCAGATCTGGACGACGACGATGATGACGACGGCTACTATCCGCCGCCCACTCATGGAAAGAAAGCTAAACTCGGTACCGGATACGCTGGGGACATCAGAGAGGACGTAGGTTGAGCCGCCCAATCCGCTTTTTGCAGCGCTCACACAGCCATATAGACGTCCGGACAGATCGAGGCCCTGGCAGCCCAACGGTCCAAGGATGAGAAGCTCGCTAAGTTGCTCGCCAGTATACGAGTCTATCTTCCTTCAGTGCGCCGACCAGGCGGTCCCAAGACCAGCGATTACCTCGTCCACCCCACCGCTCTCGCACATCTCCGCCGGCGATTCAACTTCGTCGGTAGCCAGCTGCTCCGGAATGACTCGCTTGCGGACATGTCCGACCGCTCCGTGCTGTATATTGAACTGTTCGACTGGCTCGAGGTACGATCATTACTCCAAACGCCCCTAGCGTATTCTCACCGCCCATTAGACCATATCATGTCATGAGGCGTTAGCTAGCATGATGGCGATGCCAATTATGGTCGTAACGTCCGTGAAGACCGTCCCCTCGAGAAAGTCTCCAAGAGGTAGTCCGAGAGTACGCGAGCGCACGACGATCTACGAAGGGAGCTCTGGGCCCCGTGAGCTTCTCGAGGCCATCGTTATCCAGGCTCAGGCCGCGGTCAAAGGTCTCGAGGGCCCGAAGCTCAACGAGCCCATGGTCGAGATGACAGAGGAGGAAAAGCGGATGACCAGTGACGAGAAAGGGAAGACTAAGGATACTGGGCGCACGCAGTCAGAAGAGAATACGAAGATGCTGAAGTTCTGTCATCGCATAATCGATACTGCCGACGCTATCGATCGCTCGCTCGCTGAGACTAAAGGTGATGCCTTTCTGCACCGGCTACGCGCCAGTCTACCGAAAATACTTGGTGGTGCCGAGCAGTCTATGAGCAAGGTCCGAGCAGGAGTTACAGAGGAAGATACCGTCAAGGCTTACGTGGAGTGGGCGAACTGTGTCCGGTTCGAATACTGCGACTTGACAATTCCCCCGTCGGACGCGCCTGGACAGGGGAATAACGACGACGAAAGTCCGCATTTCAAGTTCTTCTACAATAACGAAGCACGGATGCTCGCGAACGCGGACATCCCGAAGCGATCGTTGGCTATCGCGAAGGAGGTGCGTGAGATGGCACCGCTACTCCCCAAACCCCACTCTGACAGCGGGGCCGCAGCTCGCCGTGCTCACGACGAACCTGCCAGTTGACTGGAACTCTTCGATCTTCTTGCGGGTGGATGAGAGCCGCGTGGACGTTATCAAGGTCTTGATCACTGGCCCCGAAGGGACACCGTAGGTCCAGGTATGATTATCCCGGTGCTTCGCTAATTGTTGTCTCCACATGGCAGGTATTACAACGGATGGTACGGAGTCTCGATCCATTTGCGCGCTCGCGATTCGCTAATCGGACTGTCATAGCTATCTCTTCGATGTCTTCCTCGGCCCTAGCTATAACCAGTCTCCGCCTAGCGTCAAATATATGACGGTAAGAGGAATGCAGATGCATCATCACCCCAGATTCTGAAATTACTTCGCACAGACGAACGGGGGAAAGTTCCGTTTCAACCCAAATCTATATGCGGTTAGTCCATCTTGATTGCCGCGACTGGAGCGCGGTCTAATTGCGTCGATCAGGACGGCAAGGTGTGCTTGTCTCTGCTCGGGACATGGTCAGGTCCGGGCTGGGTTTCAGGGAAATCCACGCTTTTGCAAGTGAGCGGGGTTGCTAGAGCAAGCTTTCGCGCGCTTACGACGTGGTCACGCCAGGTCCTCATATCGATCCAGTCCATGATTCTTTGCGAAGAGCCGTATCTAAACGAGCCCGGCTGGGCGAACAGCGGCGGAACGCCCCAGTCACGCGCCTGTGAGTGCTATGAATAGCAGCTTAGTCATCCGGGGTCTATATCAATTCTCTCCACAGACTCGGCCAACGTCCGTAGGATGGTCGTAAAGACAGCGGTTCGTCCATTTGACTCTCCCATAAAATGGGTCTTCTTCCAAAAAATTTGACTGTGTGCTCAGATGTTGGGTAATTTGAAGAACCCGCCGGAGCCGTTCGAAGACGTAATACGTACACACTTCCGGCTGAAGGCTAAATCGATTATTGCCCAGCTGGACAACTGGCTCGCCATTGACGACGGAAAATCTATTACGGACGGTGGATATGGCGGCAAGATTTCTGTAGCGGCAGGGAGTTCAAACGGCTTCCAAGCGGACGTGGAGGAAATGAAACGTTTGTTGACTCAGCTTCAGTTGGAGGAGCATGCAACACAATAGCGTGTTCACGGACATTATTTCGTAGACAGATAGGCATATCATAATGGATTCACATTACCTTGTCCGAGAAACGAAGATCGACGGCCATCGCTGAAGCGCTGGAGCGCTTGCTCGTCAACTGAGCCGAAGCAGCAAGCTGTCTGAGCCGCTGTCAGCTGAGTGTTGTTCGAATTTCTGACACGTGACTGTGTATAATACATCGCCGAACCGCCGGTACCTGAAAGCCACCGTGTCCAACCGCATTGAAGGTCTCCTCAGGCTCTCACCACAACCACTACTGTCAAAGGTACCGGCGGCGACGTGTATAACGCAGACGACTGCCCTGCGTGCCATATCTCCAGATAACCCGGGCAGTTTGTCCACAGTATGCTGAGTGATTCAGCGATCCACGCCGTCGCAGGCGCCGCGGGCGGTGTTCTAGCAATGACGGCAACATAGTCAGTTTGTACCATTGGCATTGTTCGTCTGCCCTAACAGCTTAGGGTAGCCCTCTCATATTCCTTTCGACGCGCGCTGCAGTAGAGACAAGGAAAGAACACAAGGTAAGTTGGACACCCGCTTCGTATACACGCAATTAACGTGCAATTCATGGTATCACCTGACCGACAGTCTGTATACGAGGCTGTCTTAGACATTATCAGGCGTGAAGGCGTCCTGGGACTCTATAGTGGCCTTAACTCCAGCCTTCTCGGCATAGCAGTCACAAATGGGTGAGACGATGACTCTCCGCCGAGTTATAGTTCCTGACACTGCATCCGAAGCGTATATTACTATTTCTATGAGCGATCGCGCGGCGCGATTCTCGCCTCCAGGCGGGGAGGTAAAGGGCTCAGCACCCTTGAATCCATGCTCGCCGGTCTCATCGCTGGCTCCGCTACTACGATTATCAGCAATCCCATTTGGGTGGTGCAGACCTCACAGGCAGTCCGTGGGATGGACCAGACGTCAGATCAGACCACGCCCAAACCTCGCAAGCTGGGAATTATCGAGACCATCCAGTATCTCCTGCGCAAAGACGGGATCTCTGCTTTTTGGCGTGGCATTGGGCCTGCGCTAATTCTTGTAGTCAACCCAGTTCTTCAGTACACGGTGTTCGAGCAACTGAGGAACGTCCTGATTCGGAGGAGGACCGCTCGTCTCGGGGCGTTCAAGGAATCGCCCTCCACCGTAGCCATGCTGTCTGATTTAGACTACTTCGTCCTCGGCGCGTTGTCGAAGCTTGGTACGGTTGCTGTGACGTCTGTTGAACGTGGACGCTGACTACTCATTAGTCGCAACCTCGTTTACTTACCCTTATATGTAGGTGATATGAATCATAAGTTCTTTCACAACTACACGCGATAAAAATCACATTCACAGCGTAGTCAAAAACAGACTTCAAGCCGGGCGGGCCCATGCTCTCAGATACAAGTCTTCCCTGGATGGCTTGCTCACTATTATACGGGAGGAAGGCGTTGAAGGTCTATACAAAGGCGTTGGTAGCAAGCTGCTGCAAAGTGTTCTTACCGCCGCGATCTTGTTCATGTGCCAGAGGAGAGTTTATGAAATGACCAAGCAGGTATGTTATGTCCCCACACAACGGCCTTTTTGGCTCAAGGTTCACATTGGTAAATTTACTTGATCTAGGCTGTTACATTGGCGAAGTAGCTACATAGTTTCAAACCCCCCTGGATGTTCTAGCACTACTGGACAAATGTCAAAATGAAGCCAGGACTCTTAAAATGGGCTCTAGACATGAGTCGGTCCCGGAACTGGAAGCATCCGAAAAAGAGAGGTAGAATGTCCCGATATCCCTCATGAGTTGAGAGCGACTCGTTCTCCGAGGAAAAAAGCGAAAGCAAAATTTATTACGATATTCCTCGAGTCCTTCGAGCCGGGATCGAACCAGCGACATCGAGATAAGCAACCGATTACAGTCTCGCGCTCTTCCAACTGAGCTATCGAAGGCCTTAAATAGGGCCGTATATGTTGTTGTAGGTCTTTAGCGCCCTGAAGAGCCGGAGAAGCAAACAATTTAAATATCTTGACCCCGCGCCCGGTTGTCTCGAAGCACATCACGACGAGGGCAATATAAGATGTATGTCTTCGACAACATCGAGTTAGTGAGCACAACCAAGATGAGTCTTAGGTAAGTTAGATGATACAGTATGCCTCGTGTCTGATCGTCGGCCGCGTGGTGGGTGGCCCGGGCGTAGCGGGCTTAGCTTTTTGACGTGCTTGCCCTGCGCTGGCCACGTATTCTAGCAGGCGACGTCTGGCTTCTGTTCTATCGAATCTTTGTTAGTTTGACGCAAGAGCTACTTTCACTGCCCTCTCACGACACGCCAGCTGTGTGCAGAATTCGGGAAATCGCTGGGAACAGTTCCAGTTAGGTCGCAGATGACTTGGTCGGGGAGTCTCCTCCTGGCGTACACGAGGCTGTCAAGCGCTGTTCACAGTGACGTGCGGCCTAGGAGAGATACGGAGGGACCGATCCATCGATGTTTGAATCCGAGGCTAGGACGTACGCATATTGGCGCGGCTTGGATAGATGATGATGGAGCCCTGGCATACATGACAAGGAAGGCGACGTGCCCTTGGTGATTGGATTCGGGGGCGGGTTTGGGGGTGGGGTTCCTTTGAGGTGGGCGTATTTCGAGTGAGTCAATCCGGTACGGTTGGGGCGGCTCTTGAACATTAATCTATGGAAATGAGAAGAATGGTTGTTTCCACGGTTCCATTAGATATTTCGGTTGGAGAAACCCCAGAGAAACCCACCAAAACACTTCTTGCCGGCTCGGCCGGATTTTTCTGGCTCTTTTGCAGAAATTATACCGCCCGACCTCGGAACACCGACGTTGACAAAACGTATGTCTGCCTCGTCTCGGCTCTCTCATGCCTTAATTGTGTGGTCAGTCGACATGTCACTGGCTCCTGCTGCACATGGCACGTACCGGACCCATGAGGCTACGAGACGTCTTGGTTGGAGTGTTGGCGCTCCGCCAGTCGTTTCAATTCCGTCTTGCCGCCCAACGGCGATACGCAGCAATTGTGACCCTAAATTTCTGTCCGTTAGGTTGCAATTGCCACGTCCTGTGTTGACTGCGCGCGTCGGACATGTTGCCGTTCTATTAATGCGTGAAATAGCTACTCCTGGACAGAATTCGGTGAGCAATCTCTTCGTCTGTGCAGAAACTCCGAAATTATTTCGCTTACATTGTGTCCTTAGTGGTGCACTCCCATTCGCTTGCATTGCGTGCATGCATGCTGCGCTCAGAGACTGCAAGCAGCGCAAGAGTGAAGATACTCACCTACCAATTCCAGCTATGGTGGCGGCGGCGGAGGACACGAGGATACCGAGCGGCGGTCGATCGATCCAACCACCCATCATTGTGGAGCAAAATTTGCTCTTGTGTATGTCGTTCTCGGCCTGGGATTGCTTCTTCGGGTTCTGGTCTTCTCAGATTTCGCTTATTGTCGAATCTCGATGGGCAGAAGCCGCTGATGCCTCGGTGTTTACAGGCTCAACTATGTTCGGCGCAGATTCAGCCGCGACTTTCCACGTCAATACCTTTCCACTGTTGTGTTTCTGGGTTTCCATTTTCGACAGCTCAACCATCTCGGTGAACCGCGACCCGCATATTCACCCACGGTTCGACTCGTTCAGCGGGCGTGACAGACCGCGCTACCCTTGTGCCGCTCGTACGGACTGACCTTTTCATTCCCGGCAACTTGAAGTGATCCTCAAGTAGGAGTCGAGACACGCAGGAAGCAATAATTTACCCCCGCTCGTACGCACTTCATTGACGATACTGGTCCTCTTAGAACTTACCATTGTGCACGTTGCATCCAGGTCATGTTGCTTAGAAATCTTACAGCCTTGCACTGCGCGATTTGTAATATGGATCTGAGGGATCGAGTTGGACTCCCTTTGGTTCTACGACACCAGTCATGGTTGCTCTGTACCAGCGACTGGCTTGAAGTGACCGCACACAGCGAATTAATAGAGGCGTATCCTATTATCACCAGTGCCTTTCGAGCAGGCACACGACCATCTCAATGTCCAAAATGCATCCCGGAGCAAATCTCATCTGGCTATGAGCCAGGTATGTACGCAAAACCTTTTGTGCAGGATCCCTCTCAGCTTCTCTGTGAAGGAAGTACATGGCTCGCTACGCCTCAGGTTTCTTTCCAAGGTATCTCCGCATAACCTTATTCTCGCGTTGTTTCACCCGGGTGAATGAAGGGCATTCCCAGAGAATAACTTGAACATAACCGAAGCGGCGGACCGCCACCTCGAGAAGCCTCCGTCACTCTGGCGGAGGCAAACAATTGGACGACAGCTCTTGCCCCTGATGCAGGCGTGCCCCACTGCACTTCCTGGCTCAGCTTGCCTTCTCATATCCGCCGCGATCGACCCTGCGAGTCCGTATGGTTCACGGTACAGATGAAGGCTGCCGCGACCGCCCCCGCTCCCTAACCCCACGGGTTCTTGTTCGGTCTGCTCGGTCTACGAACGCCGGTCGTTCGAGAGCAGGACTGCTCCATCTGAATACAATCATCCCTCAGGGTCGTCAGCATCCGTGATAAAGTATCCCTTGTTCTCTATATAGCCAAAGACTCATTTTACGACATAGGTGTAATGAAAAAAACAGTCATGACACGGTGATGGAACTTCTACTAACTTCCAAACAGTGCTGTTCTGATGGTTCGATACGGTGGAAGGTCTTCCATCGTATTATCTGAGTCGGGGTCCTCAAATGGGACCGTCCCGGAGCACCTCATGACCAGGGCAAAGGGTCGACGAGGATGTAGGCCGCTCTCGAGGCTGACGCGACCGCACCGTAAGTTCGTAACAGTACCGATTATCCACGGCTGCAAGCTTGTTGCATTTATTTACTTGGCGACCGGCAGTGGGGCGGGGCGAGGAATGTCACGGTCGAGCTCGAAGACCTTCCGACCGAGCGGTTCACTCGCCGATGAAGTGAGAGAGAATTCGCTGCGGGGCGAATTCATACTGTTGTACCGGGATTCTGGTGTGCTAGGACATTGCCCGGCCATGGCGGGAGCTGAAGTTGAAGGTCGAGTCATCAGCTAGACTCGGTCTTGCCTGTCTTCTAGAGTCCCCTGGCAGGCGCTCAAACCAGTTTGCCAATTATGGTCATATGAGGGCCACAGCAGCCATCGTCTACACAGTGATCCCACCCACATACGGTATCGCAGTATTACTATTGGTGACCAGCAACCTGGACTGTACGTTAGTACTGTACTATTACCTAGTCGGATAGCAGCCGCCGCTATGTACAGCCTACCACACCTACCGGACCGCAGCCGGCGAGGGATCATGAACTGACGCTGAGGAAAGTTGAGGTTGACGACCACTCTCTGGCGGCCGCAGCAATACTGACTAAACGGCCTCACTGTTGCACCATTTGGCTTACGCCGTTGATCAGCATTACGAACAAGAGTATTTCCTCCATGCTTCCTTTCATTCCCCGCAAAGTCGCTCGGGCGAGCAAATCCATGAGCGGAGCTGGCAGCCCATCACAGCCTAGAAGGGTCGACGATAGGGCACTCACAAGCGTTAGACACGCCGCCTCTGCTGAAGAGCAGGCTATCGACGTCAAAGGGAAAGGGAAAGCTACTGACATTGTCGCGCTCGCAGAAGACATCCATACAATCATCAGTTTGGCCCTTTCCGACCACGCAATATGGGCAGATTCACACTTGAGAAGCAGGATTGTCAATGGGTCGGACGGCTGTAGGAGCTATTCAGACTTAGGGCGGAGGATGGCGCTCACGATATGTTTCGTTTGCAGACATTCCGCTACAGTTTCTTCTATCTCATTCTGCCGTCCTATCCACCCTCGACCCCTCACCTACCGAGGCTGCCATAGTTAAAGTGATCCGTGCACAGAACAGCGATCTACTCGATGTACGTGTGCTGGTGTCGGCTCCGTCTCGTGCTGCGTGGTATGGCAAGGAGAGTGGGAGGGGCCAGCTTGGCGGGTATGAGGTGCGGAGGCAAGATTGGGCCGAAGTTCTACAGTGCACTCAGCAGCTCACGGAGGATGACTGGGCGGCCAGGAGCATATATATAGTTCGTCAACCCAGATACGTCTTGTTTGGTCTAGCTGACTATCCGTTTGCAGGAGAATATCCCGTCCCAGTACCGGACAACGGCGGCCATAGCTCGTTTCATTCATTCGCTCGTGTCAAGTCCTAATGTTTCTATGCAAATTGTGCAGAACATCTGGCTACCTCCTCATGCTCAGGACAAACCAGGCGAACGACCGAAATGCAAAGGCTTCGCTCTCATCATTCTGTCGAGCACCGAACATGCAGATGGCTTAGCACGTCACTGGCCTTGGAACATTCGACGGACCGATCTTCACAACGTGGCCGCCACCCACGAGGCCCAAGAAGCCGTGAAGTTTGGCTTCCGCATCATACCTCGTGGGCATTGGGACAAACTGAAGGAAGAGTACCTTGCTTATCGTGAAACACTCCTGGATGCCCTCGCCTGTGCGGAGCAAGTTGCTGAACAGACGACGCAGGTGCACGTCGTTGAAGAACCTGCGGAACCGCGATTTGCAGCATCTGATCTACCCACGACGGACCTCTCCTCACCTTATCCCCAGGGGTGCCTCGTCTTCGTCCGCAACATACACACAGAGACGAACAAGACTACCCTTCGCGCCCTGTTCTCACAAGCCGTCACTGAAAGCGATGTTCCGGATGCCGGCGTCGACTACGTAGATTTCTCCAAGGGCATGGACACGGTCCGTCCGCTACTTTCACCCTTCCTCCCCATCTGCTGACACCGTACATTTGAATCAGTGCTACCTGCGCCTAGCCTCCGCACGATATACACGGCTCTTGACAGCATTCTTCACTGCGCATCCAACCGCGCAAAGTAGCGGTCTAGATACAACGGGTGTGGCACCGTCAGCGGGGACGAATCTCAA